TTCCCGTACCTCGTCTTGAAGACATGCTGGACAAATTAGTGGACGCTGCCATCTTCTCCAAGCTTGATCTTAGGAGTGGCTACCACCAGATACGTATCAGGCCCGGTGACGAGTGGAAGACAGTGTTCAAGACTTGGGATGGCTTATTTGAATGGCGCGTTTTGCCCTTCGGTCTCTACAATGCACCGGCTACGTTTATGAGATTAATGAACGAGATCCTCCGGCCTACTCTGGGAAAATATTGCGTCGTCTACTTTGACGACATTCTCGTATTCAGTTCTACACTCCAAGCTCATTTACAGCATCTCACTTCTATTTTTGAAATTTTGAGAACTCATAAGCTCTACATTAATCTCCCTAAATGTGAGTTTGCAACAGGATCTGTACATTTCCTAGGATTTGTCATATCCAGCAGGGGCATTCATATGGATGCACAGAAAGTATCGGCCATCACTTAGTGGCCTATTCCGCGTTCAGTAACCGAGGTGCGGAGCTTCATTGGTCTAGCGAATTTTTATCGTCGATTCATACGCGGGTTCAGCCTCATTGTAGCTCCAATCACAGACTGTCTAAAGAGCAAAACCTTCCAGTGGACGGCAGCACAACAGGGCAGTTTTGAAGCCATGAAAGCAGCGTTAAGCGCTGCACCAGTACTGACTGTGCCTGATTTCTCCAAACCGTTTCAGGTGGATACTGATGCTTCCTCTGTAGGAATTGGAGCAGTGCTTTCTCAAGAGGATTGACCCATTGAATTCTTTAGCGAGAAGTTGAGCGCGGCGCGACAAAATTGATCGGTATACGAGCCAGAATTATATGCCGTTATTCGAGCTTTAAAGCAGTGGGAACACTACCTTTTACATCAAGACTTCATCTTGAATACTGATAATCATGCAGTCCAGTTCATCAATAATAAAAAAACGGTAAACAAGATGCACGCCCGCTGGATCACTTTCTTACATAAGTTTAGCTTTGTACTTCGCCATAAATCTGGATCTCAAAACCGTGTAGCTGATGCGCTTAGCCGCCGGACAGCGTTGCTCACTCAGATACAAACGGACATGCAAGGAATTCAATCTTTACAGGAACTGTACGCGGATGATAAGGACTTCGCAGAACCTTGGACCCAGCTGACGCAGCAACCAATGAATCCTGTAGGAGATTTCTCCATTCGGCATGATTTCTTATTCAAAGGAAATCAACTTTGTGTTCCGGAATCCTCCTGGCGTGAACACCTGATTAAAGAACTTCACAGCGGCGGTCTGGCAGCACATGTGGGGCAAACGAAGACTTTAGAGCAGGTGCAGCATCGTTTTACTGGCCTCACCTTCGCCGCGACGTCATTCGTTTTGTAGAACGTTGTCCGGTTTGTCAACGCTGCAAGGGTAATGCACAAAAAACTGGACTGTACACTCCCTTACCCGTGCCACAATCCATATGGGAAGACCTGAGTATGGATTTTGTATTGGGATTACCTCGTACAAAATGGGGAGCTGATTCGATCATGATGGTATAGATCGATTCTCGAAAATGGCTCACTTCCTTCCCTGCAAGAAGACATTCGATGCTTTAAACGTCGCCATTCTCTTCTTCAAAGAGATCGTGCGTTTACACGGGATACCTCGCAGCATAACGTCTTACCGCGACGTCAAATTTATCAGTCATTTTTGGAAAGAATTGTGGAAACGGCTACAAACTGAAATTAAACTGAGTTCAGCTTATCATCCCCAATCCGATGGTCAAACAGAAGTGGTCAACCGGACACTCGGCAGTATGCTTCGGTGTTTAGCTCACGAACACCCAAAACAGTGGGACGACTATCTTAGGCAGGCTGAGTTTGCATATAACTCCATGGCCAATCGCTCTACCGACCAATGCCCCTTCAGTATTGTATACACAAAGACACCAAATCATGTGGTAGACATCACAGTTCTACCTCAATGCCGCAGTAAATCAGCTGTCAAGACGTCTGAAGAATATACGAAGCTATTGGCTGACATTAGACTAAAATTGGAAGCCGCTAATGAGGATTATAAACACACTGCCGACGCCAAACGCCGCTTGAAAGTATACAATCCAGGAGATCTAGTGATGGCCCGCATCCGCAAGGAAAGATTACCGCCGGGTACTTTTTCAAAATTGAGCCCGCGCAAAATTGGTCCTGTACCAATTCTTCGACGAATCAACGACAATGCTTATGTTGTTGATCTCCCACCACAATTCGCAACACCGTCCACGTTCAACGTGACCGATATCTTCGCTTACGCACCACCTGATTCAGATCAAGTTCAATCCATTCCTTGTGACAAGGAAATTTCTACAGCCGGGGAGCCTGATGTGGTACAGGATAGGGGATATACTGCACCCGTGAACGCTACACCGCCTGCTCCATAACGAACTACTGGCACCACTTTCCCTTTTCCGTTATTTAGCTATCATTACTTCTGATTTTCTCTTTTTACAAATTACTGTATTTTAAGTATTAGTTCTTTTCCCTAGACAAACACTTAGTATAATACTGATATTTTGGCTGTAAAAGGGCAATAGACGATATATGCAATACTGGGTATTACCTACTTCCCCTGAAATCCCTGTTTCTCTTCTCCTTCTTCTTCGTATCCGTCCTTCTTCTATTTTCCTGTTCTTATTATTTATTGCAGGTTTGTGTTCCATACACCATAGCTGATGTCCAAAACTGCTAGAGCTGTTAGGGAACCAGAAGATTTTAACAAAGAAGGCGTATTTCCTTTGAAACTAAGTTGAAGGCAAATTTCTCCCAGAAAAATAAAAAAAGATTGCATATTTCTCCAATTTTAGATATTATGTCAAATTTCTCATCAGATAACTACTGAATAGCAACTTGCAGGTTTCTTTGTAAAAAACCCAACAATCAAACTTGATGTTTGCTCGTTCTGAAAGTTAGTACCATGCACTTCTCTCATATAGATAATGATAGGTTTTTTTTAAAAGCTAAGTTACAGTGAGTATTGCAAACTAA